TTCTGAGAGAACTTGCAAGCTGGAGATAGGTAGGCTTAGGAAACCACAGGAAGCTGCTGGTCCTGATTATGATAAAGGCACTGTTTTCAGAATGGTGGTATTTTATTAAAATCTAATGAAGAAAGGGTGACTAGGAATTTATTCCTTGGAGGAACCCATGAGTATAAAGATCATTTGTATTTTATGACACATTATGCCCAGGTCACTGGAAAGTGCAATAATAACTTCATATCTCTTAAACCTCTCTATGACTGAGGACATAATTTAAAAAAGTACATTGGAGTCATCTATAGACAAGTATCTGAAAATCCCAATATTATGCAAATTACCCAGACATTAATTAAAATTATTAACCACTATATCTCAGTAAAGTGGTATGCTATATTTTTTCATTTTTTTAATCTTATAATTTAATTTAATTTTAGATACCAGTCGTTTCCCTTGTCCTCCCCCCTCCTTCCCCCCTGCCTTCCCTCCAGCCCACCCCCCATTCCCATCTCCTCCAGGGCAAAGTCTCCCCTGGGGATTCAGCTCAACCTGGTAGATTCAGTCCAGGCACATCTAGTCCCCTCCTCCCAGGCTGAGAGTAGTGTCCCTGCATAAGCCCCAAGTTCCAAACAGCCAGCTCATGCACTAAGGACAGGTCCCAGGCTCATTGCCTGGGTGCTTCCCAAACAGTTCAAGCTAATCAACTGCCTCAGTTATCCAGAGGGCCTGATTCAGTTGGGGTCTCCTCAGCTATTGGTTCATGGTTCATGTGTGTCCATTCATTTGGCTATTTGTCCCTGTGCTTTATCCAATCTTGGTCTCAACAATTCTCGCTCATACAAAGCCTCTTCTTTCTCGCCAATTGGACTCCTGGTATGCTATATTTTCTATTAATATGTTCTGAAATCCAAAATTCATAGTTATCATATGTGAAAAAAATCATAGCATTATAATCCTCCGACTTGCAGTAAAGTAATTGCATTAATTGCCTTAGAGGCTGTTCTCAGTATTATTTATCAATATTTGATATTCATTGTTTTTTAAAGGAACGAATTCTGAAGCAAATGACATCTTTATGGGAGAAGATCCAAGAAAATCAAGAGAATATGGAAGCAGAGAACAGAATGAAAACTCTGTGGATGGTGAGAATGAGATCCATGCTTAAAATCTGGTTGATGCAGATAGTTTCCAAATTTATCAATCTTGAACTGAGTATGAAGCATGGGATATGATAGTTGGAAAACATTTCCTGGTGGCCCTAATCCTGAGTGTTAGTATAACTATACATAGAATGAATGTTCTGGCTGTCCAGAAGAATCTGGGACTAATGAGTGAATTGCTGACAATTCAACACACTGCATTAGACTCTATGACTACACCATGAATTCTAATTACTACAAAAGGAGTGTCATATCTGACTCAATATATGAATAATCAATAAATACCTTTACTTCAGGCAGTTCTGCACCTCTAATATAAGTGAAATGCTTAGGGTCTTTTTCACTGTGTAATTAATAAAGAAGAAATAAATAAAACCACGGAATTTATATTTTCTGAAATGTGGGAACAGTCAATCAGAGTCTATATAGTTATAGAAGTCATTTGTGAAATTTAAGCATAGAGGAATACAATGGAGGAGGATAAAAACTTTGCAAATATGATTGAGAATGTCCCTTTTTCTTCAGGACTACTTGACTCTTCGGGAAGAAATGATCAGGACAGAGTATAGGAAATTACATCCACTCCTCTGTGAAGAGGAAGAGAAACACATTGAGTCTATGAGAAATGAAGGCCAATGTGTTTTAGAGAAACTTGGGACAAGTGAAGCCATGATGGTGCAAAAGAGTAAAGAACTAAGAGAAATGTATCAAGAGCTGATGGCAATGTCCCAGGAGTCATATGTGGTCCTGCTGCAGGTGAGCATGGAGGAGTGCAGGAAGAGGCTTTATTGTCTTAGGCCCACACTGGTGATTGTTATACTGAGATAGCTTTCAATATTCCCTAGATTTATGAAAGGGTTTTCCTTTTCAGGAATAATCTTGAAAGAACAAGCTTTTTGAAATTATGTCAGTAGATTCGTCACGGATAGGTTTAATTTTGTACCTTGCTTCTCTGAGAGCCCATATTCAGTGGCTGCTGTTTCCAACACTTTTTCCCTCTACTTGGATATTGTGCACAATTTTCAAGATACTCATCATTCAATTTCGTCTGTTTGAAAGCTATATTTTGAGTATTATTTGGGAGGTTGGGATTTGAGAAAGGTTCCTACTAGGTGATATATGATGGCCTGTAACTCACAGTAATCCTCAGGCCTCTAACCCCTCAACTCTTGATTTACAAGTGTGAGGAACAATGAAGGGGTGAGCCCAACCTTTTTTCACTACACTTAGCTAAAGTACCCCTATGGCTTGTAGCCAACTCAGGGAAAGTTCCCTTTCAGACAGGAGTTCAAAAGCAATATGTAGTCAATACCCATGTCCTTCTCAAATCTGATTCTCCAGGCTGATTTCATCAGAATTCACATCATGCTAATCTACTTGGTTGGCATCATCCTGAGACATGAATATAAATTTTCAGGCTAGATTGGTGTGATGGTGACTGATATTTTTATGAACTCTATATACAAACATCGTATGCCATTATTTCAGAAATCTAACTTCTTGTTGTCTTCTTTGCAGGGTTTGGATGACATATTCAGAAGGTGAGTTTATCCATCAGTGCAATCCAGGAAACCCTCAAATAAGCTATAAAATTGAACAAGCTGCCTTAGCAAAGTGCAGATACACTTGATATTGAAAACCCTCCATTGTTTGCGTTTAATATGTTTGGGATTTTTTTTTTATTAAATTTGTTATATTTATGTGTGTGTGAATATGTATGAGTGTGCATGTACATGTGCCATTACACATGTGTGCAGGTCAGAGGACAGCTTTCAGAGACAGTCTTCTCTTTCCATTATGGGGTTAAACTCAAGTTGTCAGGCTTATGTGAGAAGGTGTTTATCCCCTGAGCCATTTGGCTGAACTTAGAAGTGAAGTTTTTCCTAATCACTATGATGGTAGCTAGGTAGATCAATGTCTTCTTCTCTTGCAGGAGTGAGTCAATGCAGCTGAGCATGATCCACACTATGAAACAAAAACTCCAAGCCCTACCCATTACTGGACTGACTGAAAGTTATAAACACTTGCAAGGTGAGTGTCTCCACTGATAAAGTGTCCTTCAAAAATGATAACTTTTTGTAAACACAGATATTTTGACTCCTCAGCATCTAAAATTTTCAAAACCTTTTTAGCATGCTACCACTCTTTTCTTGTGGAAATAATTGACATTGGTGTATATGAGCCACATTTAGCCTCAAGTCTTAGCCTTCTCCTTTTAAAATCCATGAAGTCTCTATGGACACCTCTCACTCAAGAAATGTAAGTGGTCATTTTCCCTAAAATGTTGACTCTTCCCACAGTGCCCATTTTCTTTGATAATGTAACCATGCTGCATTACAAGATGAACCTATTTTATGCCATGAGAAGATTGAGCTTCAGACCTCGCCATAAAGATACATCTGCGGATTATGCTGGCTTCCATTTTGCTTCCTATGGATCACAGAGCTTCATCTCAGGGAAATATTACTGGGAGATTGATTTGCAGGACTCTTGGGACTGGGCTGTAGGGGTCTGTAAGGATTCCTGGTTGAGGAATAGAAACCAACCGATTGAATCTGAAGATGCATTTCTTCTTGTGTGTGTGAAGGAGAGTAATCATTACAGTCTTATCACCACATGCCCAGTGTTCCAGCACTATATAGAGAAGCCACTGGGCCGAGTTGGTGTGTTCCTTGATTGTGAGGATGGAAGTTTAAGTTTTGTGAATGTTGCCAAGAGTTCCCTCATATACAGGTACCCTCCTGGCACCTTCAATTTCCCTGTCTGGCCTTTCTTCTCCAGTGGTTTT